ACCACTCAGACCAAAGTTACCATCCAAACCCATCACACAGAATGCCATAAATCCGCTAAATGCACCAGCAATCACACTCCCAATGGCAATCATACTAATTCGATAACTTTGCTCGGATCTTTTATACCATTTTGTAATATGAAATATGATACCAGGAAAAAGGCCGGCTTCAAAAATTCCCAATAAACTGCTTGTTAACAATAGTTGAAAATAATTTTTCACCTTAAACAGGAATAATAACAGGAATAATAATTCAGAATCAAAGATTACTACGGTTGTAAAAGAAATATTTAATACTTACTAATGTCATTGATATCACTACGGTGCCCCAACCGACCATAAGTAACGAAACTACCAAATTAGAAATGATAATTATTTATGATATTATTAATCTATATCAATATTTAAATTTTTAAAAGGATAAACTTACTCCAAATTGAAGGTATGGTTTTGGCTAATATGATATTGGATGGCACTCCACACAACACATAAGTTCTACAAGAAAATAAAAAAATTCAAAATTTAATCAAAAAGACAGGAGAGGCAATTCGTTTACTAGAAAAGATACACATACACAAAAAAAATACTTATAGACCAATTATATTCAGATCCGGTTAAACCAAGGTCACTTTCCAAGTTAGCTAACTTTGCGTTTCCAATATTAATTCTAATAAAAACGATACAACACAATTAATAGTAGTTTAAATTATGAAGCAAATAAGTTAACCTTAAATACCTATCCAAGAAACAAATTGTGTAGAGGAGTGTAAATAAAGGAATGATTTTTATATCAATCTTCCTTAATAATGTTTTTTCTGAGACACTTGTTACGATTTCAATTTTATCACCCAGATTACCATTCCATGCTCCAGTTTTCTTTCCTATATTATCATTACTTAATAATCTTTCTTTGACTTCTGTCACTGATTCAATTTTCACCCCCAAATTATCATCTTTTAATGATCCTTCTTCTATAGCATTTGTTACAGTTTCAATTTTTTCATTCATGTTATCATTTGGTTGTTGACACTACGTATTTTGTGTAAAATTTTTAAATGATCACTCTAAACATTTCCTATACATGAGTGATGCCAAGGGAAAACCAGACTCTGGGCTCTAAGTTTATTATTTGTTGTTTACTAGACTCAGCCATAATTAGAAATATATATGGGATCTTGCTAAGAAAATGACCCTCCGGGACTACGGGCTGGACATCAAATAATATACGGCGGTGACTTATGGCACGAGGAGATAGCTACCTCTGACCTTCCAAATGTCTGCAACTATAGATTTTATGAACTAAATTTATTGACCATCTAATAAATATGACCATATTTGTTTTTTTTTTTTTATTTGAGTGACAAAAAGGAAAAATGCATCATATATGTCGCCCGTTAGGGCTGAGTGCGGTAAATAATAAAGAAGAAACTTTAAAGCCCGAAACCAGGTTTTATCTTAGCGTTGCTCACATCAAATTATATAACGAAAAGATAAGAATTTCCAAATGAGCGTCAATTTATGAATACATAATTGTCATAGATTATAGGCCTCGAGTATGTTTTTAACTTTATTTTGAGTTATTTCACATCGATCTAAATATGAATGTTCTTAGAATTTTCGCATGTTATTTTAGGTGACGGAAATGAAGATTTATAATAAACTATTTAACATAGTAAAACAGATATTTTTTTTAACGTTCAAATATCAAAAGAATTTTTTATTTTTATTTATTATTATTAAATCGATTAATATAGAAATCTATGAAAAAACAATGAAATTTACCTTGAAATTTAACTTTTTTCCTCTAATTGTAACTATTTGTTTGGTATTCTAAATAAATTTTTATATTAATAAGAACCTAATTCGAAACCAACATTCTTCCTTTTTTAAATCTTTTTTGTTCCGATGCCACGATGCCATTTCATCTATTTAACAGATCTCAAATTAATTAAAAATCTTTTTATATGATTCCACATCGCAACACATATTTTTCATAACAACTTGTTTGTAATTTCATGATAATAACACCGACCAACATTCCATTCCAAAGTCATTTCCCATTTGAAAGTATTTGAAGCTTAAGTTCATCCTTTTTAATTCCATCTTAACGATTTTTGCGATTTTGATAATAAATAAACGTCTATATTCCATTATTATTAATATTATCTTTATTAAGGGTGGGGGTACAAATTGTAAATTATACGTATACAGTATTAAACTCATGGTATTTATCTTTTCTTTTTAAAATTTTACAAAATTTATTAAGCCAATTATTTTAGGCTATTAAATAAATGAAATTGGTTTAATATTCGACGAGATATGAATATTTAAATTTTAAATATCAAAAGTTGTTTACAAAAATCATATGATAATCATATGATATCAGCCAATCAAAATTAATCGTTTTGTGTAACTAAGGCAAGCTATTATAAAAGGATGTTTTGTTCTATATATTATAAAATTTTGGTTAAAAGTAATTATAGCTATAAGAAATTCTATTAGTAGCACATTTTTATTATCTATATAAATCTTATTGTACCACTAAAATCATATGACAAATGATCTACATACCCAAAAAAAACGTTTATATATTTAGTTCTTCAATTTCGTTTAGGTGGGCTGGTCCCTTCTTTTTTCTTTTTTTCAAGAATTTTTTTCTGTTCTTATTCTTTCTTCGAACCAGAAATATAACAAAAAAAAACTAAATTGAGCACGTTAAAAAATAAACAAATAAACAAACAAACAAATAAATAAATAAATAATAAAAATAAATGCATCATCTCTTTCAATTCCAATTTTTTACTTCGTTTATTTTTATGGCTTTATTCTTAAATTCTATGTTGCTCAATCCTTCTATTCTTCGTTAGCCAATTCTTCCACAATACTCTACCAAGAGTCATGATGTTTTTTTTATGATCAAATTATAAAACCATTGTTTGGACAAGGCCAACATACTAATACTGTAATAAAATATACAATTAATTAACATATTTACTCTTCAGTCTACAAGATTTTTGGTATGTTTTTATAAAACGTTTCGTTATTCTTCGCTAAACGACTTTAAATTTGTAGGATTTTCATTACTACTTACATTTAAAGCAGGAAACCGTGGGGTTTACGGAATTTTATCATATAATGCATTGGAGATTTTGTATGGAAGGCAATACATGACGGCATCGGATGTATTCGCTCGGAATCAGTATGTGGGAAATTTTATATAAAAACCTTAACTTATAATCAAGAGTTCGGAACACAACTTCAATTACAAATATGCTGTAATAATTTAAACAGTTATTGAGGACACATCACAATGCTATATAAATCTAATGATGAAATATCGAATATGACAATCGAAAAATAGATCATCAGTGTGAATATTTACTGAATGGCAAAATTATAAAAATAATTTATTTGAACTAAATAAATCTGAATTTATATTAAAAATGTTGAAATATGCATAATCATATTCGAATGTTATTTATAAAAGCGAATTTATTAATTATACTATGTCTCTTTATCGAGGTAACTAACAATTTGTTTTAATACATGGGTGTAGTCCGATTGAACAATTCGTCTTTCAAGACTTATTAGAGATTACGGAAGAGTGCCTGAAGTTGCAACCTGCCACTTCAGGCACCTGAAGTTGCCATCTGCTACATCGGGCGAAGTAACAAATTGCCTAGAACTTAAAAAGATTTAATTTTGGGAAATTGATTTCGATCAGGTCAGTAAGTGAATTCGGACCAAAAACATCTTTTTCCTCGTATAAATCTATATACATTGTTTAAACAACTTCGATGTTTTGCACTTTATTTATACTATGAATTCATCAGTGGATTATACCACAAACCTTTTTACGTGTCATAATAAATTTCTCAACGAAAAAATCACAATGCTAATACATAATTGGCAATGACAACATGTGAACAATGAATTAACTTGTTTAATAATATAATATGGGATTAAATTATTATTTATATTATATAATATATATTTTTGTTATTTTAAAAACATTACCAGTTTCAATAATAGGTTGGTCCATTCCAGTGCACAAATATAAATTAGACTTGCTACATATGTTCATTTTCCAGTCAACATATTCCAATGGTGTGGACTACTAAGATCATAGTATATACGTATCAAACCACTCGATGATACTTATATATTGTGGCAGATTAAATTTTGGATAACGTAAAATAGACAAGCCATCGAAAAATACAAACCACTGTAACGGTTAGTTGGGAGACCGCTACTAGAAGTTATGTGAATTGAATAATAAAAGGCTTCCATAGGGCACGGTAATTCTATTAGGGCGACTTAATGATGGTGTGTAATTAAGGAGAGAATATCATTATGTCCAGGTTACTTTATTAT